TGATTCGCCGCGAGGGGCTCGATCTTTGCGATCTGGCTAGGACCGTCACCGTTTTCTTTTTCCATTTTTTGGGGAACTGGTCCCCTGGTAAACGAGACCGTGATCGATCATCCGCGAGGTAAACGTGTTTGCATAGAATCGGAGCTAGATCGTTGACGAGGCCTTTATTCGGGCCTGTGAGCCATTCGTGACCGTTTTCCCGATGCAACAGAAATTTTTGTGTATCATACTCTATTTCAGTTTGAAATTGTTGTGATGGGTCGCGTGGACCTCCTTTACCTTATGAACCTAGCTCTTGTCACTAAAAAGTTGGTAACCAATAAATTAGAGACTCAGGCTTCACTAAAATCAACATTTGGGTTGGTCGATGCTAGTACTTGGATTCTGGTAGCCGTTTCATTCGTTCTCCATCCACACACCCAACCTTTAAGCGTGCTGCAACGACCTTTGTTAGGGATTTCTATGTACGGCTTGGCGCAAGACGCTTTCTACCTTTTATTGCCTCACAGCTAAACATACTAGCGGTTTCATCCTATTCTCAATTTTCATGTTCTTTTCGCTCGCGCGTTCGTCTGGCGCGTCGTGGAAGCTTGCACAACAAAAGTAAATATTATTTCGAGCCCGAGAGTTACTTTAAATATCAATTATCCCGAGTCTAAGACGGTTCTATCCAGCTCTGCTTCTTGCTGGGCCGTTGCTTGTAGCCGGCAAAATTACACGCTAGCCTGTCGATACAGCATTGTTATGAATAATGTCACGCTACGATTACATTTATCAATGTGTCATTCGAGATGTGTAAAATGCTACGGACGGCTATTGTTGTCTACCAGACGATCGCTGACGGTTTTTCACAGTTGCCTTTCAGTTGTCAGTGCGAACGGACGTGTCGCATAATAAACCGGTTTTTATCAAAACAGATATTACATACTTCAATTAAACACGCCGCTATAGCAGAATGTTTATAGAAATGTACATTTCCGCACGAACTGACACGAATAACTCTTGCTCTTTCTCAGGAGTAAGTAACATTGTATATTTATCTTACTGTACTTGGATAATTTCAAATTGAAATTTCGAAGAAACTATATGAAAGTATTTAAATAATATTCAAAATAATAATAGTCAACATATACAATCATTTAAATAAGATTCGCTACTTAAATTAAATTTCCTCGTAAATATGGAAGAAATCACCCTCTTCGTCTCTCGTTTCGAATCACTTTCAAAACGGTTTCTTCCTCGTTTCGCGCGAAGCTCTATCGATCACGGGCCCGTCGTCGTCGATGACATTTTAACGAACGACGCGTACTTTACGTCGTTTGCTTCATTAGAATTCGCCCAGTCTCCCCTGGCGTATCCCGTCGCGTCTCTTTTACGCTGCTGTTCCCCGTCAAATGCATTAGAGCTTTTTGCCGCGCGCCTGGACGATGTCTAGGCATATCGATCAAAAGGTCGATTAGTTTTCCGTGTTTTTCAACGAGATCATTACGATCGACTGGGTTTCATCGTTCCGTGACGTATCGAGCCGCGCGTGACTGTGAGGCTAACGGTACAGCAACGTGCACGTGTGATTGCGACAACCGTGAACCTCGTGTCACGTACACGCGTCGCGCGTACGCTCTCCGATTGTCTTTCAACGAGGCTCCTTTCAAGGAAGCTCCGTCTTTATCCTCGACGCCTACCAGTGATCCTTCGTGGAACGATCGTGTGATCGAACGGTAAGGAAAAAAGCGGGGGTTCGAATCTGTCGATTTTCAGATAGAGATCTTTCCACGTCGAGACGATCGATTTGGTTCGAATCGAAGCATGTTACACTCGAAGTGAAAATAGGGAGAGTTTAAGTCGTCGTTCTGCTATCTGTAACACTAGGATCCATAGATTTGTAAAAATTAAGCACTCCATGTTTTTGCTACCATTTTTATTTTTGGTAACATTTACTAAAATAGGGAACGACTCCCAGGTTTGCTTGTCAATCACCACACAATCGATCGGTATTAATAACATATCACCAGACATGCAACGAACCATCAGGCTTCGACTTCTGGCGCGCATAAAAAGCAGCGCGAGCTGGAACGAGCGCATGAATAATCCAGTCCTGATTAAAGAGTGTACGTGTGCCGTATATAGACGTAGACAACGTAACAGAGTCGGAAGTTGGGCTTGGGAACCGCCGAACTACGTACGCGAATTGCCGATCGACGATGCTTTTATTTAAGTTACTAACGAGTTACTCTTCTTTAGTATTCGGAGCAAGGGCGAAGATACAATCCGCACCGAGGAAGCGGACAATTACGTGACGTGGGATATGACGTGATAGGTTTTTGTAATTGATACGTTCCTCGACTCGGACTTGACGACAAGCCTCGGCATGGGGAGACGCGACATGTGGTACCACTGTTGGACGTAGTCTCCGCGGCTGAATGCGTTCTGCTGAGTAAACAATATCGTCGAGTTGCGTGTGTCGTCGTTACGGTTGGTTACTCGACGCTGCTGGTGAAACCTCTCAACCCCTTGACGTACCCTGTTTTGTTGACTCTGTCATCAAAAGATTGTCAGTTTTTTGGGAGGAGCGACATTGTTACGTAGAGCTTAACGACGAGTTTCTTCATAATTTTTAGCGACGATAGATCCTTATCAGTGAATAAAGCTTTGCATAAGTGCGCACATTTTTTTCGTCTACATCATAAAATTCGCAGTTTATCGATAACACTTCTTAACGAGCATTTTTTAGTAAAAGTATGTACAATTTAAATTGACTGTGTGTAGATTTCAAAGCATCCTTACAAATCTCAAAATGATATGCATCAACCGTTTCAGATTTAAATTATTTTTCCTTCTCGTACTAATGTGATTTAATCTTTAGAGTGACTTGGACTAAAATTGGTGTTGCGACGGCTTGAAGATGCAGCGTGAAGGTGTTCCGTAACGATGTGAAGCTGCTTCTTCGAACGAGTGGAAGCGAGGTCCCGATGATCCGGTTGCCATTGACATTGTACAGATCGAATGTACCGATTTTCTTTTTCTACTATAAATAAAGCTTTAAATTCTTTTTCGTTTGTAAATCCTGAGTTATAAAATGAATTAATGAAAAAATAAAAGAAAAATCCTAATAGTGTAGTTTCCGAGGAAAACCGATCTTTCTTCGTGTACACAAATAAGGACATAGTATCGGTGATAGGGTTAAGGAGCAAGCTCTACACTTAGTTTCGTGTCTCCGAAGTTTCCAGAGTCTACTCCGAGAAAGTATCGAGAAGTCATCATTGCCCCACACTTTGGACGAGAGCGCAATCCCTCCACTCCGGTCGGAAAGTTATGAGTTGATCGCCGCTGACCCATATCAATAACAGTCAATTAACCCTCCGTTGAGCTCGAACGGGCGATACCAGCGCGAAACGATCTCGTGGAGCTACTCAAAGGTGTCTTTCCAACGGTTCAGACGAACGCGTTAATGCCATCAAACTCGGAACTCTGCCGATGGTTTCGAACTCCCGATTGCTTTACGACGTTCATTATCCTAATGCAACGTCCGGCGAAACAGGATTTCACGATATACCGGTAAACTCAGGGTCAACGTGCACACGGGGGATAATCCTCGGTGCAATCCACTTTGCCCGCCACAGCGGACAAGTGAGAAGGCCGTAGAGCGAAACAGGAGGTGCACGGTGCAATGAACAGAGAGTTCGGCGGGAGGAGCGTTGGAAATAAAGTACGCCGTGCGGAGGGAACGAGCGAGAAACCGGGTTGGAAAAGAAAAGAGAGACGGATAAAGTTCCATCGGAGCAGTTAGGTCTGTTGAGTGGTTCACGAGACGTTCAACGGAGGACTGTGCACGCAGTCTTCAGGATGGGGGCCGTGGACGGGCTCTCGATGGGGTTCAAGGTGACTTCGTGATCCTCTGGCCCGCGCGGCGTGCATTACCAGGCCTGGAGGACTGCTCTTCGAGTTCGTCCTGGACGCCCGCGACTCGACTATTCCCTTCGGGCAGTCTAATGCGGGGAACGGCCGTCCCTCCGCCGTTGCTCGCCTAGGGATACGAAGTCTTCGAGCTGAAACGTCCCTTTTTTCATCCACCAAATTGGCCCTCGCACTCTGCGATCTATAATTGCAGGAAGCAATTTGGACGGAGGATCTCGAACAGAGGAGACTCGAATTACTTGTTGACGCGGCGAGTTTTGAGCTCAATCGAAAAGTTGCACGAAATCTCCAATAGATATTAGGTCGCGTCAGAAGTTCGTGCTGCAGACTGTGGTAATATTAAATAAGAAAGAAATACAGAACTTTTACAGTGACGATATAATGACTTTGTTAGAAAGATGGGAAAATATTGTAAAACGACAGAGATTAACACTTAAGAGTATATTTTACATATTAATTTGAGTAGCAGAAGTACAAGTGGCACGAACTTGTAGGACGACCTAATGTAACAAATCTCTCTCCACTGAATTTCCTGCCGTGAAACGAGCGCAAACAGCTCTGGAGTCAGCTGATCGTGCCGCATTCGGGAGAAAATGGACCCCTCGAAGTGGAAATGGAAGAGGCTTGGCTTTCGAAAACACGGCGATGTCCCCTGCATCGCGAAATGGACCGCCGTTACTCGAAGAATAAGAAACTCCCACGGGCATAGGGATATAGAAAACTCGGGTTCCACGCCAGCTGTACGATTTCCAGAGTAAACAGCGGGACGAGAAGAAACGCGGACCGGGTGGAAAGGCGCTTGGTGGAAAGAGAAAGAAACGCGGAGTAAACGCTGCGTTTACCAGAGAGGTAGACGAGGGATGCGGGCAGAGGAGACGACCGTCGGAAAAGAGAAGCATCCTATAGCGAGTACACGCGCTCGTGTTTAGCTGGAAGGGCACAAAGAAGCGCGACCGTGGAACGGAGAAAGAGAAACGAGGCGAAGTAGGATGAGCTGGCGCCACCGAGCTAATTACCGCCTCTGTTTTGTAACCTAAGCGGCTCAGGGCGTATACCTGTGCGCTATATCTCAACTTACGGTACGTTTACCATAACCGAAGGGCATACACGGCGCAGGCAGCAGCGCCCGACGATCCACGCCATTGTACTCCGCGGACTCCATCATCCTCAGCCTCTCGGCCCCCATCCAGCCGAGACACGCTCCTCTCATCCTTGGATCGTGTTCGCAGGAAATCGCGAAATGGATCCCATTTCGCGTATCCCGACGGCCACGGAAGTCGTATCTAAAGGTGCTACGTACGATGTACGGCGTCTAGTCATCTAACCAAGACGCCGATGATGGCTGGAGGGTGTTGCTCTCCCTCTGTTGCTTTTCTCGGGGATATTGTTCCAACGTCAGGGATCGCGATTCTTGCGAAGGATGGGCGAGATAACGCGTGGCTGACTTCTCCGGAGGATCTGGTCACAGAGGTGGATTAATTTCAATTAGAATGCGGAGTAGAAGTTCCAGATTTATTCACGAGGAAAAATACAAATGAATCCTCAAGGTCCCACGACGTCAAATATGGAAGTTCACGAAAAGAGCTATCGCACCGTCTCCAGACAGAACCAATCCAAAGGTGCAAGATGCTTCCAATGGAATCCACGAAACAAACCGAGAATATTTGAAAGCTTGCATAATACAGGACGTTACGTATACAATCGATCGTAATTGGACTCGAATTACAAACTCGAGCGGAGACGCGAATCGCCGCCGTCAACTGATAATAAGGTGGGCGTAACAAGCGCGAGCAGATCAATTTCCCTCGGTTCATTACGGGAGAGCGAATATCGAGGAACCAGCTACGAGTGAGGACGGAGGGGAGGCGAAAGAAAAATGTCCCCGAGTCGCAGGGTCTCGAAGTCGACTCCATAGGTCGCTCGGGCTCTGGAGGGTTAATTGTTACCAGTAATCTCGCGGTCGTTAGGTGATATTTTTTTCTCCTTATTGCGGGATCATAATTGAGGCTCCAGAACGGCGAGAGAGTTTCATTGTCGTTCACGAGAGAACACTCGACGACTTTCCTCCGTCCACCCCCTTCCCCTACCGTGCCACCGTCGTGTAGACGACCAAAACCCGGAGTAATCGATAGTGTGTTCCGCAACAAATTGGTGAGTCTCGCGTTTCCCGAGTTTCCTTCCTTTATCCCGTCGTTCGCCACTCGACGACCACCGCCACTCGAACCTTTCCAGTAAGAAAGAAAATCGGGGATGGGATGGGGGGCGGAGGGGTGGCGACGAAGGCTGGATTGGGTACGCGGTTCAAAAGGTTCCGTGATTTTCGGCGCGATTTCGTATTTCGCGGTTCGCCCTGGTTAATGATCCATGGCCCCAAGGACTCGGCTGAGTGTGGCTGAGAAGGTCCTTGTTCCTTGCCGGGTCCTTCGAGGCCTCGACTTAAAGACTGAAGTGGTACACAATATCGTCGTCGTTGGGGTCAACGACACCCCCGCGGCGCTTTCTTTCTTTCTTCTTTTTTTCCTTCATTTTGTTGCTCGCTCCGTCTCCGTTCGCTTGTCACTCTCGTTCGCTCTCTTTCCTTCTCTTTTGGTGTCTTTTCTCCCCTACCTCGATCCGCGCCCCCATCTCTGTTTCGAGGGACCCTTTCTTCAATTAAAGCCGAAGGAATCGACGCAGAGATGATTGAACATTGTGCGCCACAATGCAGTAGCATGTACAGGTCCGCTCTCCGTGCTCAGCGAGAGTATGTAGTACATAGGAGCAACTGGACCATGATTGACGACGTGATGTCTGCCCTCCCTCTCCCTCATCCAACCCCCTCTTCGGCACCGCTGCTCTTTCGCCGTCCTTTTCTCCCGTTCTGTTCACTTTTTCTCGCCCTCCTGCTCGCGCTTCTTTCGCCTCCTCTCCGTCCGTTCGAGAGGTAGTAATCCTCCACGAGCTGAACATCGCGCCAGAGGCACACAATCCACGAGGTTCCCTCTTTCCGTCTCCTTTCTTCCCTTCTTGCCCTCTACTTTCTTCCTACCCCCCTCGTCCCTCTTTCCAGAAACCCCCCCGTTAATCTCTCGCCGCCTTCTCGCTCCCTCCGTTACCGCCGATCTCCCTCTTTCCGCACTATTTCGATCTGCTACCTCTCGTAATACCAGCTTTACTCGGATCTTCGTTTCGTTTCTACCTCTCCAACGGCCAGAGACACGCTTCCTCCGGGATCCTCGAAACCAGAAAATGTCCCGTTCCTGTGAATTATGCCGGCGAAGGGTATTCAGGGGGAAGATAGCCAACCCTCCGTCGTGCACTGAACTTTCGAATCCAGAACGCGCGGTACTTTGTTGCCGCGTAACTCGCGTCGTACCTCGTCTATCTCCCGACAGATAACAAGTTCGATGGCGAACGCTTTCGAAAAATATTTTACAAATCCAGTGGTCTTGCTCGAAGGAAATGTAGGACGTTTTCTTATCTAAATTTTAACTTAAATAGAGACTGCATAGTCTCGCAAGGCTTCTAATCCATTCGGCGCCATTCTCGTTGCAAAATGTGCGAATAGGAATCGCATTACATAAAATAGTCTAACTTTGGAAACGTGACGTTTTTGGTATTTCTAGACTTAGTGATAAATTCTTATAGCTTTCTTGATGCGTTGAACCGTATCCCTTCATAGGAGACATCCGAGTGCAAAGGGTTGAATTTCCAAAGGACACCAAGAATCTTCCTACAATTTACAAAATAAAATCTAAGATAAATAAGATACCCGAGAAAGGCATAAATAAAACTAAAAACGTAAACAAATTTTCCAATCGCAGAGGAAAGATCGATCGCAGCGACGACGTGTCGTCTCGGTCCCTCCGCCGTTCTGCCCTTGCGGGCCTATCAATTGCGACGCAAGTTCAGCGCGAAAGGGTCAATTCAGGAATAAAGCAGCGGTCATGGCGCGGCTGCGTGGAATGAAATCGCAAGCGTGAAGGCAATTCCTTAGGACGAAGTTGAGGTGAAGGTAGAAACGTGCCTGCTCCGGGTCAACCAACTCAAACGTATGGTTGAGGTGCCCCTCCTACCTCTTGCCGGTTGCTTGCACGTCGTGTGTGCCCTCTCCAATGTCCTCCCACCCTTTCCTACTTCGAGATCGGTGGACTCGTGCCATCGAGGTGCTCGTGTCGCGAGGTTATGCGCCTTCGGTTTTGTTCGAGCCGTTCGACGGGCCACGCGATAGTTCGCTGCACTCGGCTATCTCCTCCTTCCAGGATTTTTCCAGGGCAAACAGTGCCGCGAATCGTCCCAACTTTGATGTCCCACCGATCTTGACGATTTCTTAGATCAGCTTAATTGTTTTAGTTCTGAAGCATGTGAGAATTCGCACACTTCCTGATTTTATAAGTAATTTTACCCTGGAGTGTTTGTTACCTTACTCCGTGACTAATAAACACGTTGACCCTACAGTAGAAAAAAAAAGTCACCTGGTCATCTAATACTGTAATTTCTGTCCTCTTTTTACATATTCTGTTCTCACTCTTGAAGCTAATTTATTTCCTCGATATTCAGATCCAGTTTATGCTCATATCCCGTTCGTCCTCTACTCGTTCAACAGTCGCGTGTCCCGCGAGGTCGAAGACTTTCTTAAAAGTGCGTGGCCAGCCCTTGAACCAGATACTGCTCCACTGCCGTTATCTCGGCTCATTACAGTCCTCCCTGCTGTTTCGTTTAAACGTAACGCGCGTAACGATTATTTTTAAACCGTCTACCTCAGCCACTCCAAAAAAACTACATACTCATTTACTACTCAACAATTAATTCAAGATCAGCCAAAAGTCGATACCAAGACGAATGAAATAATTTTGGTAAAAACCAGAAGCGTGTTTACTTGCTGGGAGTTGTAATGAATATTTCACGTGTTAAAACCTAATAATTAAACCAGCCTTAATTATTCACCGGTGACGCTCTCGTCGGAGTAAACGGTCGCGGTTGTCGCACCGGACGATGATTCACCGAGCGTATGGTCCTCGTTGTTATTGTCACCGCGGCCGTTAATAAATATCCGTTCGAATCGTACGATTAATTGCGACTCATTAAGCGTGGCCGTCCGCGGAGCGAGTCGGTCGTTACTCGTGCGGTTTTTGCAGCCCGCTCTTATTAAAACCGGTGGAAATCGTTATTAGCATCTGTCGCGGTGTTTCAGACCGGTAACGCTTTTGCGCAACGCCAGCGAAAGTGGGTTAAACGCGTATAATTGAGCTAATCTTAATTAACTGGTAGCGAGGTTCCAATACCTCTGCTCGCTAGACGCTCGGCGTATTCGAGCCCCGCCGACCACGACGAACCTCGTGTCGTTCAGCCCGGATCGGTTCTCGGCGTGAGTCATAGACGAATAGAATTTTATTCCACCAGCGCAGGGTGTCCCACGAGCAGCCATTTATTTTCAGAAATTTAATCTAACGAATGCGTCGTCAAACAGACTCGTACAAGTAACTTCTACAGTGAGTCAATGAAGTGTCAGGTATATTGGAAAATAATAGAAATAGAATATATCAAACAACTGTTACCTCTATTCTATTATTTCTATCGATTGTTTACTTTACTATTCCATCGATCAGATAACAATTAAAAAATTCTCCATCCGCAATTGTGACCAATCCTCGCATCCACTTGGCTTCTCCAGTTTTCGCGAATGTCGCAAGCGCGTTCACGAGAAGCGCTCGTCCATACGCAAGGTCAGTAACGCGATTAAATCGGCGTCGATTGCCGGTTAACGATCGCCCTTCTCGATTAAAAACGCGGCTGCGCAACGTCGGCCACGTTCTGCGTCTGATCTAGCCCAGGGATCGTTTGTTGTTTTATGCTAAATACCAGGCGTCCATTAAATCCATCGAGCTCGGTCGAATCGTGTCACGATCCGCTCCGACGGTCGTTGCGTAGCCCTCCCCCCGTGGCCTCCGTGAAAGATCAGGCTGGCATTTACTTTGGTAGCGGCGTTAAGTGTAACATTGTTCGGGAATCGGCGTAATTGAAACGTCGACAGGTAAAAGATTATCCGAGCCGGTGTAATTGGAGAGTGGGTCGAGGAGAACAGAAAGTTCAAACTGGAAGGTTAATGGTACGAAACGTGTTTCCTTTTCCTGCTGTCGAATGGGGGTTGGAATTGTAGGTTAATGGGCTTTGGAAGAATTAGTTTGGCAAGGTTCTGTATTAATTTACTCGTGTTTAATTTTCTTGGAGTCAGAGGCATTTCAATCAAGTTTGGGATATCTCAATGTTGATTTAATCGACAAGCGAGTCGATGCATATTCAAGCCTTGGACCAGGTATTCGGATTGCTACTCTCTCAATATTATGACGATATTTTTTATATGAGAGCAAAATAGACCGAAATAGAGCAACCATTACAGTCAGCCCCGTATATATTCGTACCCTGTATGTCTATTGAAGAAATTCTATTAAATTAAATATTTTGATGTTACCAAATAAATATTCCATAATAAATATGTACGTAAATAAATTTTACATGTGAATGTATCTATAATGAAAAAGTGATTTGGAAACATCAAACCTGCTGTTTACTTTAGACAAACTTCTTTGGTAAACACAGAGGGTGCGAATATTTACAGGACTGTCTGTATCTGAGCCTCGTAGTAGGGAACATACTACTTACTTCGTCAACATTGATTATTTTGTATTTAACATCTCCATCTCTCATATGAATTTCCAAAAAAATTAATGTCTCTATTGTGTGCCCTGAATTCGTTATTTTGTCTGTGCAAAACATTGTATATCTACATAAGAAAAGCACATTATTATTTAGAAGCCTTCTGACTACCCAGAAGCCATAAATTCTGAATAAATTCTGAATAAATTCTGAATAGAAGTCTACGAGGAATAATAGTCGCCAAAGTGTTAAAACTAAAGCCTTCTAACGTTCTCTCCATTTTCTCCGCGCAATTCCTCTCCCAAAAGAGGACATCCATCCCTACCAGCGTCTCCATTTAGACGATTCCTCGCGATCGAGGGGAAACCCGTCCCCAGGCTGTCCCCAAGTGTCTCGCTACCTGGCGCGAGATGATCGAGGTCTCCGGGAGTCACCTTTTACTTTCGTGGCCGTAAGTCGTGTAAGTCGGCGCTAAACAAGTACGACTTGTCCTTCGCGCGGTCAAGTCACGTAGACTTGACCTAGTCTCAAACAGGGTGGGAGACCAGAACCAGAGTTACCGGTGGCTCGAGTGGCCGGTATCGAAAAATTTCAAGGCTCGCGGCCGGCATAATTACGGGCCACCAGCGGCATATCTCGTCGGCGCTGCGGCGGCGCATTTGTTGCAATTTGTCAGGAACGCCCGTTCCCGGTAATTGCCATTAAATCGCGACCAAGATTCGATCTTGCCCGTGTTATTACCGCTGCCCGCTCCGACTGTGACGTGCGCCTATCGGTTTATCGGCGCGCGTGATCGACTCCGGATATCAGATGGCCTGTCCGTCTAGATCGAGGACGATACCGAGGCCTCGTCTAGCCGGCCACTTTT